CGACCCTCACTACTGAACCGCTTGGCATCGGTTGCGCTCCGGAACTCATCCGTTAGTGATAAGGGATTGGAAGTGTTTTTGGCCTCACTTTCGCATAATCTACTTAAACTTGAATTATCAGGTTCATTATGTTTACGTTATATTTATCATAATTATTTAATGCTTCAATAGTTTTAAATTAAAATTATAAAATAAAGTTACTATTCATTTCACTCCATCCAATAATTTTTAGTAATTAAATTTAATATATAGATATTCAAAATATGTTATTATTTATATACAGTCAATTAAACAAGTATCAACGTAAAATAGATTTTATTAACTAAACAATTCTATATAATAAATACACGCCAACACTGGTGTTTTAAAGCATATTTGATATATAACATTTAATTTTATGATTAAAATTTTGTACTAGGTTGTAACGAGATAACAGACACAGTTATGTGGGCGGGTTTGGTGCCAAACCTGGAGATACTAATAATCATGGATTGCATTAACATATCCGACGAAACAATAGCCGCGATTTGTCAAATGTTGCCCAGTTTGAAAAAATTACAAATCCAGGTAAATTATATTAGCTTATTATATTGCTGATTAAATATAAATAATTGTTAACCATAATGAATTACAGGCTTATCACGTGACGGACACATCTATGGCATATTTTGGTAGTACATTAGCCAGAGAGAATTTACGCGTATTAATGCTACACCATTGCTGGGAGTTATCTAACCAGGGTGTTGCCAATCTGGCACATGGTTTGCCTAATTTACACACACTCTCACTATCGGGCTGTTCAAAAGTAAATAATCTTAATAAACATTAAATTATTTTAATATACAAATATAATGTTGTTAAACTGTAACAATAATATATAGGGTGTATAATAAATATTTAAGATAATTACAATTGTTTATATTGGGTCCCGTCTTCAACGTCTATATTATATTGTTTTTATTTATCCAAAACATAAATTATGAAACAATAATCTATAATAATTAGTAAACAACCATTATAATAATTATTATTTTACTAATATTGAATATAAATGTAAAGTTAAAATTAAAATTACTTTTAAACTAATTTTTACGATCAATGCTAAGGTATCGGACGATGCGATTGAAGTGATCGCAGAGCAGATCCGAGGGCTCCGGTATTTGGACCTCTCGTGGTGTCCACGTGTTAGCGATGCGGCCCTCGAATACATTGCCTGCGATTTGTCCGACACTTTGACACACCTTATACTCGATCGGTATGTATTGTGTATTTTATTTTACAAACCGGTAGATCACAATTAATTATGCAACCATCTTATTATTGTGAATTAATGTACATTAGACTTTTCTAGATTTTACATTAAAAATGTCAATTCAATCATATTTATAATTATAAAAGCAATTTTTAGACATCCTGATAATTATCTGTATGTGGCAAATTAGGTTCAACTATTATTAATATTTGTAAAGCAATTTATGTACAAAGTAAACCGTCAGTAGGCGTGAACTTGATTGTTGATTTAGCATAATAATAGGGATATGCATTTTATTTTTACTATATAATATTTTAAAGTATATTCTTTTGATCTATTTTATAACACAATACCTGAATAAACATTATATTTATTTATCCCCCAGATATGTGGGTTATTCTACATGTGTGTGGGATGTGTTAGTAATAAAAATGAATAGAATTGAACCCCAAACATTTAATTTAATATATTGTCTTGGTTGAAATGTTATAAAATATTATATAATTAAGATTATTAATAATTAAACTTTTCGCAATCGTCCCATTAATATTTTATAAATATTTGTATTAATTAATTGATGTTAATTTTATGTTTACGTTACAGTTGTCTACACATCACATGTATAGGCATGGGATACGTGGCAACGATGACCCGTCTCTGCCATTTGTCTCTGCGATGGTGTCCTCAGGTCCGGGATTTTGGACTCCAGACCCTGTGTTCTATGCGCTCATTTAAAAGCCTGTCCATCGCTGGTCTGTATAACAATCATGTGTTTATATTATTAAATAAAATTAATTTTTTGATTCATAATATAATCATTTGCTATACAGGGTGTCCGCAGTTGACAATCGGCGGTCTCTCGTGTTTAGTACAAATGCAAACATTACAGGAACTCGAGTTGACTAACTGTCCGGCGGCTACCAAAGAGCTCATCAACTATTTGCGCGACAAGACAAATGGCAGAGACGGGTCATCGTTGCCACGTATCCCATGCCTATGCATGTCATGTGTAGACAAATGGCAGAGACGGGTCATCGTTGCCACGTATCCCATGCCTATGCATGTCATGTGTAGACAACTGTAATATAAACAAGAAATTATCGTCAATTAATTGAGACAAATATTAAAGAATTATTATTGGGAATCCAGCAAAGACCCTATAATTAATAATTTTGATATATTTTAATTATTCGTTTTATTTATCAACATTTAAATAAAACTATAAATTATAATAATTTTTATTATGAGTTCAATTCTATTCAGGAGATATAATAAATATAATGTCTATTCAGATATGAAATAGATGAAAAGAATATAATTTAAAATATGTCACTATTATTATGCTAAATAAGCAGGAAATTGAGTTCACGCTTACAGATTGTTTGCTTTGTACTTATAATAGTTTTTATTTTACTTACAAATTAATTAATTAGTTTGATTTATATGAAATGTATTAATATTACTAGTTTATTAATATTGATTTAATGTATATTTATAATGTAAATGAATTGACAATTTTAATGTAAAAAAGTCTAATGTACATTATTTTATAATAATAATTTTTGCAAAATTAATTGTGATGTACCGTTATTTATAAAATAAAACACACATTACATACCGATCGAGTATAAGGTGTGTCAAAGTGTCGGACAAATCGCAGGCAATGTATTCGAGGGCCGCATCGCTAACACGTGGACACCACGAGAGGTCCAAATACCGGAGCCCTCGGATCTGCTCTGCGATCACTTCAATTGCATCGTCCGATACCTTAGCATTGATTTGAAAAATTATTGTAAAAGTTATTTAAATTTAACGTTACATTAGTATTTAATATTATATTATAATAAATATTAATGTTAATTATTATTTATGCTATGAATGTTTACTAACAATTATAAATTATTATTCCCTAATCAATGTTTTAAATAATTATTAAAAATAAAAATGGCATGTTGTTGTTTCCATATATAGTAAGTTGTAAATATTTTTGCTATTTATTATTTGCCCTATATCATATCGTTACAGTTTGATAATATCATATTTGTATAAAAAAATAATTTAATATTTATCATGAGCATTTACTTTTGAACAACTGGATAGTAAGAGTGTGTGTAAATTAGGTAAACCATGTGCCAGATTGGCAACACCCTGGTTAGACAACTCCCAGCAATGGTGTAGCATTAATACGCGTAAATTCTCCCTGGCTAATGTACTACCAAAATATGTCATAGATGTGTCCGGCGTGAAATTTATAATGTTTAACATTAATTTCTAGTTTATCAATAATATAATAAGCTAATATAATTTACTTGGATTTGTAATTTTTTCAAACTGGGTAACATTTGACAAATTGCGGCAATTGTTTCGTCGGATATGTTTATGCAATCCATGCTTATTAGTATCACCAGGTTTGGTACCAAACTAGTGTTGCCAACTCTGATCGACTATCGCCTTGAAAATTACAAGAATTTTCTAAATTCACCTTGACCAAACCTTGACCACCATTATTATTGCATATTTGATTATAAATATTTTTGAAATATGAGCAAAATGTAAATTTAAGTTTTAATTTAATTTAGTTTTATTATAATACAATGTATTTTCTATAGANATGTAAATTTAAGTTTTAATTTAATTTAGTTTTATTATAATACAATGTATTTTCTATAGAAGATACGGGCATGTTGAAGACAAAAGTCTTTCTTATGAAGGGATTTTAATAAAGGATTTGTTTTGCTATTATACAAATAGACAATAAATATTATTCTGGGTATTATATAGTGTGTTCATTAAAATAAATACCTAAAATAGACATACAATAATTACATTTGCTCTCACCTTGACCTGTCTATGTCAAGGTGAGACCTTCGCCTTTCACCTTGACCAGAACCCTCTCGCCTTGCAAATCAAGGCAAACCTTGACCAGTTGGCAACCCTATACCAAACCCGCACATATTACTGTGTCCATTATCTCGTTACAACCTAGTACAGAAATATTAATTATAAAATCATTATTTCTTTATATAAAATTTGAATAGATGTGCATTTATTTTTAGAATTGTTTAGTAAATAAAATCTATTATTGGTTGATACTTGTCTAATAAACTGTACATAAATAATAACATATTTCGGGCATCTATATATTAAATTTAATTAATATAATTATTGGGGCTAAAGAGATCTGGAACGATTAATGTGAAATTTATTTTATATGTTATATTTAATTTTATAACAATCAAAGCGCAAATTAATTAGTATAAATATAACGTAAAAATTATGAACTTGATAATCCAAGTTTAAGTATAGATTATGCGAAACTGGGACCAAAACCACTTGCAAACCCTTATCACTAACGGATTGATTAGTTATTAATCATTATTATGCAATAATTGACACAAATTAATTTTTGAAAAATAATGATATCCTATTGTCATATATTTTATTTGAAAATAATTCACTTTTCTTAACATAATTTAATAACATTTGACTTAAAAGATTGAATATTATATTTAATGGTAGTCAACTAAAATTTTAAAATATAATTAATATAGGCCAGAACCAAATGTATTATAAAATTTTTTCATATTATTAATAAGATGTAATTCTAAAATATTTTTACAGCTTTAATAAATATTTTTTTAAATACAAATAATATAAATGTAAAAATATTTTGGTCTTTTTAAAAAACATTTAAAAACATAATTTGTAATGAAAAATAGTGTAATAATAAATAATTGTAAAATATACTTAACCCCTAAAAGAAGTCATAATTAACCGTGATATTTTGGTGTTAAACATATAGTCAATTTGAAAATTGAAATTTAAGAAATTCAATTAATGTATAACATTAAGTATAATATGATAATTAAATCGTATTAATTATTTATTGACAAATAAATATCGTAATGTCTAATGTATCATTAGTAATGATACACAATAAAAAATACCTTAATATCATTCTACTGGTGACTGTAAATAAAACTAAACCGTCAATTTAAATTCTATTTATTATCATCATATATAAAGTTTATAAAACTTTATATAAGTTTTTGGTTTCATCTGTCAATATGAAAAAATTATTTTGTAAATTTATTCGTTATATTTAAAAAAAACAAAAATATATTTTGCAAATGGAAGAAAATATTAACTTAATAAATAAAACAATAATAATTGTAAAATATACCTTACCTTTTTAAAGGTAGTTATAATTAACCATAATTTTGTGGTATTTAAACAAATATATTTAATTAGAAAGTACTGTATTTTAGGTATTTGACAAGAATTATGTACGTAAATCACAAATTACTATAATTATTAATTTATTATTGGATTTAGTTTAATACAAATGAATGATTAAATTCTAGATACAATTATATAGTGCAGGATCAATATTTAGTTATCAAGGTTCTAGAATTTAATTATTATATTAATTATAAACCTATGGAATATGCAGTGTATTATACATCAGGATATTTGTGTTGCTTTTATTACAAATGTTAAAACAAAATAATACCGATTTGTTTCAAAAATACTCTCAGTTTTATAAAACATATTTTTGGCCAAAAGAGTAATTTTTATGACAGAAATTATAATTTTATAAATTATTTCACATTAATATTGATTACAATTAATACAATAATTAATATTATAAATAATTATTAAATAAAACTATTTGAAATATATTTAAATTAATGTTTTAAAGTGTTTACACTTCTGATAAATGGCTATTATTTTTTGAATTATATTTATATACGATGACTATTTAATTACTTGATAAATTTGTATTTTAGATTAGTTATGGTGACAATATATTAATACTAATTTATTAATTATGATAATCTTATATAAACAGGGAAAATTGTTTTTAAAAATATTATTTTACGTACAATTGACGGGAAATATACAGAAATATGTTTAGTTCTTAACACAGTTTCATTGAATACCCGTTAAAATTAATGTGTATTTAAATTGTGGACTGAAATGTTAAATAATCAAGATGATAAACAGATTAATAGTGCTGGGACATTTTGTTTTATAAATACACAGCCACCGGAATAACTATATTACAAATTAACACATTTTCTCATGGTAATATAATAATATATTATTGTATCATGATGTTTGACTAGTGATAGTTAAATATCGCACAAAACCACCAATCTCATTTGGTTACAAAGTGATGGAGCAATGATGTGGCAAATTGTCGCGCA